TAAGTGACTCATTGAAGTGCTTTTATTAGCGCAAATCCGTGGATCTATTCCGACATCGGTATTCCAGTTAGGCGTTCGTCTCTCCTCGTACAGATCTGCCTAGTGAACTGCTTGAAAGTGACTGTACGGTCTGCAGACACCTGAACACCATATGTTCATTGCCTTTCCCGTTTTTTAAATTACCTATACAACATGAAAACTTAACATCGAGTGATTTCACCAACAAAATTTTCTCATAATTCTTCAGCGAAATCAAAAATCTAGCAAATTTTCTCTATCTAAAATGCGTCCCTATTTTTAAATGTTTTTTTGTAGCTGCAAAACCTTGGTTTTATTGTGGAAAAAGTCTTACAATCATCACAGCTCCTTTATTGACGTAGTGATCCTGATATCCAGGAGCACTAAATAGTGTGATCACCTTTCGATCACTGGAGATCTCAAAACCCTCATCAACGGCCTAAATATTTAGCTTACGTCGATTTGAACGTGTTCGTGTCAACAAGTTTTCGTCATTAGTGAGGATGTGGTTCGTAAGTGTCAAACTACAAAATGCAGGCACTGGTTCATTTCTCATTGGACATTACGCAAGATGACTACTGGTCCAGCTTACCCATTCCGAAGGCCAGCTAATGTTAGACAAAAATCTGGGGTTTCCGCTGCATAGGGAGTACCCTAACAGAAAGCGGTGGTTCCTCGTCACAAATGTTGTTGAGAACCTGAGTTCACGATAAGGAACGGTTTGGTATCACCCAAGTAGAAAGACGCAACAAATTTTTTGCCAAAGCATAAAGATGGATAGATAGGCATAGTTTTTGAAAAATAGTAAAATAAATAAATAAGTAGCATGGGTCAAGAAATAGAAGTAAAAGTACAACTATTTTTTTACCTGGTGTCCACGAACAATCATAAGTATGCCTAATTTAGCGCATCGCTCAGCGATTACGTCGCTACCAAACACTAAAAAGAAATTTTTAGCGATTATTATAATTGAATTGTAATCTTGAAAGATTAGAACACAATTTTCTAAAATGTTAGCAATCTAACGGTACACAAAGGCAAAGAAAAAGATTATAACATGAGGTTACCATAAGAGCAACCACGCTCCGTGTTTGCCTTAAAGCCAGTACATAAAGGCGAGGGATCCGACCAGAGCAGATCTTCCACCAAACCTGTTGGCTCAATCGAACCTCTGGAATTTCTTATCTTACAATGTGATACAGTCGTTCATAATCTTATTTGACACAAATAAAAAATTGCGGTAGGTTGAAGATGAGAAAATCATTGAATATACCCGATAGCAGAACGTCCAAAGGACGCAGCACTCACCGAGCATCAATGATTCAGTCATCATCTAGTTACCGGATTTTAGCTAAATCAAATCTAGCATGGAATCTGCCTCTACGCTTAGCACCAAGAAATTTATTAACATGAAATAGCTAGGTTTAATCCGTCGCCGCAGAGACACTACGCTCGTCATTTCTACCACGTTTTGTCTTTGTTTTAGAGCGATTTCTTTATGAATCCACTTTCAAGGCGAGATTAATCCTCATTTGTAGTTTCCACAGGTGCTGCTGCCGTGCCATCAATGTTAAAAAATCGTGAATCTCTTTCACAGAGTGATCTACTGCCATTTAAGAACGTGTGGCGTCTTCAGGTGGGAGGATAGTAGGTTAATCGCGGATTTAAAGCGACCATATCCTTCCCTGAAACACAGGTGGATCCAGAAGATGGAGATAGACTCCCTTTTGTTTCTATGCCGATTTTTTATCTTCTGTACTTACGATGACGTTTTCAAGTATGCGTGAAAGGGTGTGTGTCCCCGTTTATACGGATTCTAATCAATTAGGCCAAAAGCCTGCAATAAAGCTGCTGGGGAGTATATGGAAAACGGTTTGCTGTAGCCACCAACAAATAAGCTCTTTGCCTCCTCTGAAAGAGACAGGCAAGTTGACCGCAAGTTAGCTGAGCTCCTACGTTTAGAGGTCAGCAATCTACAAGTGGGTGTCAAGTGCTAAACGGAGTAAAATAAATCGGCTTTATTCCGGTGACCTTGAAAGACCTCCCGACGCGGCATAGTTTGGGTCGGCAAATACGGAGAGGGTGCTAAAGTCTCAGGGCTACTCTAGGCTGCCTATCGAACTGCTAAGCTAACGATTTCTGCTTGCACTGCATGCTCACTTGCACCTGAGTTCTCCATAGAGAACTGATCATGCAAGCAAGAAAGATAAGGTACCAAGTCATCGGGCTGGCTGAAACGAGAGGACGTTGCCCATTCAAAGCTGTCTATGACAACAGAGAAGAACTGTTCCTGTAGGGATGCGACAGTATAGAAACCAGAGTTTTTCCAAGTTTTGACATGAATATCACTTCATTTCAAAAATTGACTACCCGAATCAAACTTGCAAAAATGTGGGTAAATACCGGTCTTGGCAATCTTCGTTGTTTATGCACCGACATCAAGCCATGACGGAGACAAAGTCGAAACGTTGTATATAGACACAGAGAATTAGTACAGAAAAGGCCACTCATTTTTTAATATCATCATTAGAGCTCTTAGCTGTAGACGGGACCAAGGAGAATAAGAGACCCACGGGTTAGATTGGAACGAGCACGGTGGGCGCTATCCGACTTTAATACGACAAGCAAGATCTTTCATTGTAACTGACAATTTCAGAAGCTCCATTATTAACGGTGAAAGTCAAAGTTTTTCAATGGAGAGTATCATAACAAAATAGACAAAATCACAGTGAACTGAAGGTTTTATCTAATCGATGTCGTTGTTGCCCTAAAATTCTACAGCAGGACCGACCATTATCTTCTTCGTGCAAGATTTCATTTCTTACAGAAAGGTGAAAAAACCACCAAGCTCGAAAATAAAAGTCTCGAAACTATCATTAACTAGGATTAAACTAAATTATTAGTCGGATCGTGGATGATGCCGATGCTAGCAGCATTGATTACAACCGTTCCACTTCATTCTAAGAAATCTATCTAGAACGGGAAACCGACATGATGAACAAATTAGCTGCAGAGTTGAGCAGAAAGTAGTGAGTGGCTTGGAAAACTTTCAAGAGCATCGAGGATTTAGTGGAGAGAACAAAGAACACCCGACTCCGTGCCCACCTTTTCGACTGAACGATTCTCCTTGTCTTAACGTACGCGTCCGAAACCTGGTCGCTACGCAAGTACGATGGAAGAGCGCTTACAGTTATCGAACACGCAGCTGAGAAAACAACGCTGGGGGTATTCCGTACCACACAAGTAAAAGAGGGAATCCGAAACTTCAATACTTAAACGTTAAAAAGTCGGAAACGTTGTTTTATGGGCCAAAATGTCGAAGATGAGATGGACCGGACAAAGAATGCGTTGGAACCACATCCGATGGACAAAAGCCGTTAGTGACAAATTTCCTCATGATGTCAAACGTACGTCTGGCAGGTCGTCAATCCGATAGTTACAGTACTTCATAAAAACTCTGGAAAGAAGATGTGATGCTCAATGAATTCCTAGAGCGAACAAAACACGCTCAGCTACTCTTGCAGGCGATAGGAAGAAATAAAAGATTTACTGGCGCCCGGTCGAGTCACTCGACTATCAAGGGGAAGATAGCGGTGACGTCACAGAATATAATTTTTCTGAAACAATGTATACCTCTTTATTTTACGGATGTCTTCGATAGATTCCAACTTGGGCGAGAGGCCACCATGAAGGCAAAGGATTTTGCTGCAAAGCAAAGCCGCAAGCGGAAGTTGCCTAAATGAAAAGGTAAAATTTTTCTACTTAATAAATGTAGGTGAACAGGCAAGAAACTTTGAGTTGAGGAGCACCTACGCATAAACTTTCGCCACCGCGTCCAGTAGGATTTCGCTCTCGTTACCGTCGGGAAACCTCAACCGAAGGCTGGCGCGAAACCCATAGTTTCTGGAGCGATTACAGAGCACAACTTTTAATTGAATATACTTTATGCACATATTTATTTTGAAAAATTCCAACAAAGAACGAACTTATTTACGGATTTAATCTCATGGTTTCCACGAAGTAGAAAAAACTGACGAGGAAGTTGGATCTGAAGTGCGAGCACTAAAACCAACACTTCCATTGAATTCCTGCAAAATTTTTTTGTGAATTCGGTTTTAACTTAAGAAGTGAAAAGATCAATGAAAGTGACGTGATAATCGAGCGCAGAACTACTCATGAGTATAGGAAAGTGTAAAGTAACGAAAACAATTGAAACTAAATGAAGTGGACAAGAATATTATTGGGAGAAATCCGAAATCGTACAGATATCTTCTTCAGCAAGACAGAGGCCACACCTCTTCATTTTCCAGCACGGTTGGGTTAAAGGTGCGAAATTTCTTATTCGATCATAAACCTGATTTTTACCAAAATCAAATAAGAAAGAAGGTGTGAATCTTATTTGTAAAGTTATTCACTGAAGGTGGCTCATGCCCAATTTGTACTTCGTCTTTCTCAGATAACAACATAGACACAAGAATAACTTTTTTTTCTCGACAATTTTCCAGAAATTGATTGGTACAACTTTAAAATCTTATTTACTAAAGCAAGGTTAAAAGTTTTGAAAGTATTTATAGCAGTGACAAGTAGAAAACGATGAAGCTTTCGTTGCTGATCAAACATGAACGGAAGCGCTATGCATTCGATTTCATTAAGCATCGTTAAAGGTGATTGAATGCATATCTGGCCTATGAAGTTTTGGTGAACTAACGGTGTGTCAGAGTCGGTATTACAAGCTTCCCTAACAAATCCGGTGCAAATTTGCAGACACAGAGGTAGTGCAAGTATTGGTGGACCTGTTGGGCGAGATCGTACCAATGACTACGAATGCATTGCAGGGCACCTCTTTCCACTGCGCAACCGCGCCTTGTCACAATTATATCCCATTTAAATGTGTTACAGACTTTGTGCTCACTCATTTCCAAGAAGAATAGGGCAAGGACAGCCCAATTCTTCTTGATGAATTTTTTTGTTTGAACATAGTCTCAACGCAACCTTCCACGATCCACATAGTCCCCAAGGAACAGATAACGCGTTTCGAATGGCCATCCACATTTCTGAAAATGCTGTATAATAGCACAGTATAAACAGCTACCGAAAAGTAATTGCACAAAACTTATTAAATTATTGTCATGTATTTTTACCATCGAGGAAAGAAACCACACTAAAAACCACTTTCTGAGCTTTTCCTTTCTATCGACATTCCTTTTTCTTCTTCCACTTTTTTCAATGTTGTTCTGATTTCCGTTAGTCTCTCGACGTTTTCAGAATATGCGTGGGGGTGTGGTCCCACAAACACCTCCCCAGTCATTCTGCTCGCTTATTTTCATTCTGTATATATGGTAGAAAAGCAAAATTGGCTAAACACTTGCTAGCCAATTTTGCTTTTCTACCATATATACACTTTTTGGCATGACTGGCACTGACTTTTTGGCAGACTTTTCTTTTCAGAGTGGTGCGACGTCTTTTCTCACTCAGAAGCTCTAGTTGCGCAGGTACTCTCGGATCGGAGAAAAGCGTAAGGTTGTTCCCCAAAATAATGCTTTGCACCTAAGTAACATCCTTCCATAGCAACCCTGCATATCAAGCGAATTAAGTTACTCCATTAATAAGTGTTTAAGACACAGTGGTCTTGAAAATTATGTAGCGATAACTGACCTCCCACCCAATACCCTAGTCCGCCAGTTAGTTAACAACCGTCTATATGATCGTACGTGCAGCTCAGAAAATTGTGTGATCTGTCCCAATTGCAGAGACGGGTATTGCATGAGTTCTGGTACAATATACTTGATTTCGTGTAAGGGATGTGGTGAAGAATATATTGGAGAAACGGGTAGACCATTTTGTGTCCGCATAAAAGAACAACTGGATGGGAAGACAAAATTCGTCAAAGCACTCCTCTAGGCACGCAAAGGGCACAAAAGCACAATGGCCATGATTTTGAAGTGACTGTGCGGATCTTAGCGCAGGAATCGAAAACATCAACGTGCAAGACTCTTGAGGCGTTTTCCATAATTTTCGAAAATTCAGAGGTGAATAGGAAAGACGAATGCCTCACTATCAAACGTGATCTGACGCCTTATTTCAAAATGATATTTTCATCTCTTGATGTGTCTCGCTCGCGACTAAACGTGAACAGCGCATGGGCCAGTCCCACTCGTAGCAGCACGGTGAGTAGCCTTTTTGATTAATATGAAGTTCATTTGAAAGTTTGATCTTCGTTAATACTATAGATATTTCACCGAATATAAGGCTGCTGTTACAAAAAATACGTCCAGGCTCTGAGCAAGGCGAAATCGCCGAAACTTCAACCATCAGCCAACAACAACTACAACGAAAACTTATACCAATATCGGAGCAGTTCAACAACACCACTTTATAAGGTGGTATAAATAAATGTGGAAAGTTTATAGATGGCAGACAGTAAGCAGATTGGGCAATAGTTGCTGATTTCGTGAAGGTGACTCTTCTTGAAAACAGCACGGTATTGCTGGCCTTCCACTGAATAGTAACCTTATATTCTGATAGATAACGTGTGAGCAGTCGAGTCATTCCGTTTATGAAAACTGACGTAAAATTATTCAGGTGTCCACATGGTATCCTGTCTTGACCTGGTGTTATTCGATTCCTCACCGACGAAACAGCTTGTCGGATTTTGGAAAAGAGAATTGGTGGGAGGATAAATTCATCTTTTTTTGTTTTCGTATGAGAGCACGTGGCTATTGAAGGGATCGGAGTAGTAATTTGAGTGATTTTCTTCGTTTGATTTTGGAAGTTACATGCAGTCCGTTTGTGTGTCGAGGTGCAATCACTTCGGCCTATTAGTTGGCGAAATTTCGTTGGGTTTTACGAATGCTTTTTCCAGTTTTTGCACCTTCGATTACTACTGATATTCTTAATGTTATACTTCTAATATTGTACTCTTAATTACGGCCAATTCCACTCGTTTGACCCTGCTTCGGAGTCTGCAATAGTCTCATTCTTCATGGGTTGCTAAATTGGCTCCACACTTGTGTGGAATCAAAAAGTGGAATACTTCGAAACCACGTGGGAACGCTTCAGTACAGGCGTGCTAGAACTGCAGAGCGGATTGGGTCGACCAGCGTTTAACAACATTCATAAAGTAAACGGAAATTCTCACTTCGCGGCTGAATCCACACGCAAAAGGTTCGGAGATATTCATGGATAATGTATATGGAGAAGCAAAATGAACCCAGAAGTGTTGGGTTCCGGAGAGAAGATGTGAAACAAAGTTATTTAAAAATTGTGGCCGCAATTAATGAAAAAGCACTTGAAATTTCTAGAAAAAGGAAATTAAGAAAAGCAATTAAAGGGTTTGCAAACAGTTTTCACACATACCTCAAATATGTTCAGCAGATCACCATACTGTCCATGAATATCGCCAACTACGACGACAGGAGATGAAATCTCCAGCAGGGACGGTTGACGTGCTAGTGATGCCTAGAGAAGGATAATTCTTCAGCTTAGAGCAAATTTAGGAATTAAGAAAGGAACTCCAAGTTTTAAAAATTTTCTGTGCTTTATTTTTGCTCTGACCTTTTGATCCCAGCATTTTAGTTTCTCTTTATCTTCTACGGACTATTGAAAAATCCTTCACAATAAATCCACCCCCAGTTTTCGAGCAGTGAAGTGTTTTCCAGTTTCATGGATCTCTATGTGTGAAGATTTTATAATAGACTTGTCGTTGAATTACGTTGAGAGTCTACCAACCAATCGAATGGAGCGAGCAAACCCAGAAATTGTGTAAGGCTAAGATTTCAAATAAGACCACCAATAAGAGCTCCTAATTCTCTAGCCCACCCATTGAAGTTAGTTATGAGAATTATCAATGGATTGAAAGTGACTGTATCACCACAAATTGGAGGCATTAGCAAGCCTATGCCGCTTTTATCTAAGTTTTTTGATGTAGCAACTTCACAATCATTGAAGGATTAATACACTATTGTGAAGTCAACACTGCAAAAATTCTACACCTTTTCGCTAAATTTATTCTTTCCCACTTTTGAGAAAATTGGTATAGATTAATATAGAGATGAAACCGGAGAAGTAATAGCTCTAAGATTTCAGCTTCGCTGAAAAAATACGGGATTTTATTTCCACAAACAAGACCTGATATCTCACATTCTCATAAGTTGGCAAGGTGCTCTGCGTTGACCAATCTCCAGAGAATGCCCCATGCATTTGACTTCATAATTTGACCTTTAGCGGTGGTTCAATACATATCTGGTTTCTACAGTGACTAAGGGCTTCCTATCGATGTATCAATCGATGCAGGTGTTGCTATTTTCCAAGAAAAGTCTGCTATCACCCCAGCAGTGATGTCAGACTTGGTGATCCAAGAACACAGGTTCGAACCGAGCCGTCCTTATGCCACTGTAGTGCATCTCTAGCCAGAGCACTTCACGCGCCGATTTCTACATAAATATGCAGAAAATCTGGTGGACTAGACACACAAAATTTACTAATGATGGCAGCTTGACAAGATCGATTAGTTTTGTTTAGCAATAGGTGAATGGCACCATACGAGACCACCGATGTAATAGATAAACCATTCTGAGAAATTCTTAGAAAGGAAGTGTGAAGTTCTTTATATCTCTCAAATCTGCAGAAACAGCTGAGCAACATTGGCACAATGTAGAGATAAATGACGCTGTAGAAATAGAGAGTTCACTGGCCAGTGTGACTAAGTTTGCTTGATCAGCACCGAAGACCAGCGATATACGTGATTATCATTTATTTTAAGCGTAATTTTCTGTCTCGTTTGTGTATCCGATATTAAAAATAGACCTCTGCTTTGTGAAAAAGTTCCAGTAAGAACGATGACGAATAAATGTGCTCAACAGGGCCATTTGCGAAATGGTCACGAATAACTTGGTCAAGGTTCATGTTATTCTGAAGAAAGAAGAATTTATCATTGTAAAATCTATAAGAACTTGCACTTAAGATACTAACAGGCTACTTTTATTTATAGTAACGATTCTCAGATAGTTAGGAACTTTATATAATCGTAAATAATTGGAGAATATAAAATGTTAACCTTCTATTTCTGCCTACTATAAATGTTTAAGGCGGATTATGATGTAAAAGAAAGCTACAGTGATGCTGAGATATTCTCAGACCTCCACACCAGGCCAAATCGAACCACGATAACACTTTCCAAAAGCCCACATGTTGCACATTGCACCATGGCTGTCCTGCCTCTGCCCTTTTCTCAGACAGTTTTTCTACTTAACGCTGCCATAAGCAATCAACCGTTAGCGGAATTAATCTGGGGAGCACAAATCGGCATTGCATCCATTTGAACTAAAACTGACTGGGAGAATATATTGATATACTTTTCTAACTAGGTGTTTCCAAACAAGATTACCTTGTGAAGAAAGTAAGTTGAGCAAATTAGGTGGTTGAGCAACAACACTTTTATGACACAGTGTTCCTCTGTTATCACACCATTAACAGTTTTGTAGTTTTTATGAAGCAGAGAGAGAACGAATAATAGTGCTTAGAAGAACTGACCATCACACTAAACTTTGGGTCCTAAGATGCAATAGAATTTCTAGAACAACTTTAGTGGAATTTCTAGCAAAACCCTGAAAGTCCGTGGTCTGAGCAGCACTTAGTTCAAAGCTGAGAAGAATTTTAGCAATAGGAAGGTGCTATTTTACGAGCAGCGTCTTTGTATTTTTATAGACCTCTGCTACTTTAGTGCCTGTAAAGATCATATCCTTACACAATTTAGGCGTTTTTAGTGTCATTTTGATTTTATTCTTAGTACCTTCATACTGTCAATGATTTGATTACATTTTCATTTTACCTTAAAAATTCGGATTTCTCTTCTAGGACAGAAGCAGGAGGTGCCCGGTACATTCTTCCAACATACATTCTTGTATAAAGTTACTTTTCCGAAAGGTTCACCGCACTGGGAGATGTTCCTAACCGTAGGGCTACGATATACAGCAAAGGATTCGTCCCCCGCCACAGTTTCCCAAGCTGAGAAAGAATCCGGCGTTTTCCACCAGGAAGCCCAGCTAAGAGTAAATCAGTGCTAGGATCCACCACCGTCTTCGTATTAAACTAATCGCATGGTGGCAAATACCCCTCTAATCCACAAGGGTGGTGACGACCTGGGGCACTGCCCTGGGGACTCCAAGGAAACAGAATGGCTAAACCAGCTGAACTCCGATAAAGTGGATATATTTCTAGGACCCGCATAACCAGTGAGTACGGGTCACCGAGGCATCCATGTATCCAAGTATCCACGTATAAAGAAACTATGAAATTGATATCCGGATGGTGTAATTTCATTTCTCTCGCGTGCGTTGCTTTTTGAAATCTTTGCTATTGCTTACCGCTGTAACGCTCACTTTGTGGATAGTCTTCCGAAAAACATAATGTACCATTGGATGTCTTATCCTTTACCTACCTCTTTGAAAAGATTATATGCAGTAAAATAGATGTCTGAGTGAACAATACTAAAAATGAAACACACTTCTAATTTGCATATTTGATAAGTGATTATCAAATCCTTTTTGTCATGAGATATGAGAAACTTATTGCTGCACATCATACTCCGCAGAATTTGGGATTTACTCACAACCTCATTGAAGAATGTTGGTGAATTGAAATTACCTGCGCAAGGAAATTACAAACGGCATGTGGCAAGTGTGAGGTCGCCAAACGAAAGCACAAAGTCAAGATTAATCGAACTATATTTTTTGGTAAGGTTGGAGCTGTGGTAATGATTCCAACCATTGCTGTTGACTACGAAGCAACACTGGCGGAGTCAGGAAGGCATTGGTCTTACTCGGGAAAAATCACTCTCTGCAATCCAAGTGGGAACGCTCTTGTCTGGCCCTCTCAGGGCTCTAGTGAGAATCGACTTGACCAACATTAAACGTCATTCAAAATGAAAGAGAAATCTTCAAGCAGCAGCCGAAGCCACTTGTAAAAGCTTGGAAGATCTTGGTGGATGATGGATGCGAAGAAACGAACCAAATGTGAGTATTCGCATAGTAGATGTGAAAAGCGGCTGGTTTAAAACGAAATAAAATAAAATAAAAATCTTCGGCACCGTGACCTCTCGACAGTGGAAGGATGTCATTTGCTCGTTTAGGACATAATCCTTTCTCCGTTGATCAGTTCACAAACATTTCCACTGGAAATATCCCACCAAACAACTGACCTTCTTCGATTATCTACGAAAACTACCTTGACACTCATTAGGTTCTACCAAAGGCCCGACTACGAAACTTTCAAAATGTTATATCCATTAAGCGCGATATGGGTAAGAACTGCGTTTCCGTTTTTGTTTCGGTTTCGTTTTTATTGTAAAAATGAACATATGAAATCATGTGGTGCGAAATTAATCCCCGTTTTGCTTTTAACCCATATTTTAAAAAAAGTAAGTAGGTTTAATTACCCAAGTTTGAGGTTTTCGTCATTATATTCGCGTGCGACTTTATCAACGGTTTGTTTCACCATTTTTGGCAAGCAGAAAAATACAGGGTCAATTTTCGGTTAGCGATAGATCGTCATGGCTTTAACTAAAAGGTGATCTACTTTCTCCATTGTTACAATCTACCTTTATGCAATCATTCTTTGATTCCGATTCTCAAAAGTAAATAGTATTCTGCGAAACAGAGTAGGGTCGCTACAAATATGTGAAGTGTTGAACTTCGCTATTCTATTAATTTAGAAATTACCTCCTGTTGTCGAAAGACCAATTTCTCCATGTAAGTGTTAAATTTAACTTCTTCCTTCTTTTTTTGAAATTCGGTGTCGTTGCGGAAAACCAGCACTGTGAACGCTGTTTTTTTGTAAGTGAAAAAACTAATATTTAAGTTTTTGAGAAGCATAACCTCAAATGAAGCAAATTACTGTTGATATTACTGGTGAGGGGAATGGAAGACAAAAAACGACGCACGACAGCAGCTTAGAAACTTTATTTTAAAGTGAAGTAGTAATGTAACGTTTACTTTTGTTATGGCAGCGCTATATACGTACTAAAATAAGATGAATGACTGAACTCTTCAGTGTCTCCTCAAGTTGTATTCTCAATTTTTCGGATAACGTTCTGAAAGCAACTGCCGAACTCTTAAAAACATTGTAAATCATCCAGAACTTTCGTTGAACGCGAAACTTACTGAATATTGACCTCCGACCAAATATTGGTTTTCTTCGAATTTCCACATTTACCTCATCTTTTTCTCGACGTGAGTCAACATCTAGTTGAAATGGTCTTCCAGATTCGGTCTTTGTTTCAATCACGGATCGATCAGCTGCCTTGCCCTTGGTCTGTTCCTTTGAGGGCAACGCTTTATAGACGGATACCGTTTCGGTCGTCTTCTCGATTTCTGCTTTTTTCGCTTCCTTTGAATCTGTACTGTTTTGCACTTCTTCTATGGTTGCCTGAGTTTTTTCCGGCTCCATTTGTCCTATTTTCTTCATTTTGGCTTTAGTTTCATCCACGTCAATATCGACGGTGCCTGTGTTGGTGATCTTCACTTCACTGACCTGAAAACGCATGAGTCTACAGTTAGAAGACATACAACCGATTTTCTCAGTGAATCATGCCCATAGTCGAAGCAATTAATGAAGTGAATTTGCCGCTTAAATTACTACTCACCGCTGATACCACGCCTCCACTTTTTTGTTCATCCACGACGTCGCGTTTGTCTGCGTGAAAAGCGGCCAAGGCTTCTAAACGTTCCACTATCTGAAATTTGCTTCTACGCTGAGTCTACAACTGCTCATGTTCTACAATGCTTTCTTACTAAGTAGGAAAACATTACTAGTCGATCACGACGTGAACACACTTAGAATCCGCACGTCTTTACCAGTGAGGCACATGTGCACTTATTTTACTGACAAATCTGGCGCTCTGGTGCAAACGCCTAGTTGAAGAATTTTCCAGCAAGTAGTTCACTCAATTTATCAGGAAGTGGCAATCATTTGGAAAGAGGAGGTTTTCTTTATACCAATTAGTTGATGTGCAGTAGCATAACTTCTACAAAGTATTTATTATTCGCCATGTAGTCACGGATTGTCGCAAAACAAAACGAGCTCTTTTCGATAGAACAATGACGTCACAGTTATTGAATCACTCCGGGAGCCTCAAACGATATTATTCCGATATAGTGAATCTTTCAAAACTGACGATGTTATAGAGAGTGATTTCACTTCTGGAATACCAAAGAACTCGCCGTAACCACACGCTGATGCAAATTCCAATTCGGCCTATGTTCCCGCGCTTCACCTCTGTCGGATGCTGTGTACCCAGTTTTAGAAAAATCTCGCGTGCTATTAATAAAGGTGTTTTCCGTACGTAGAAGGCATGAAGCAAAATATGCTAGCTTTTGATCAGTTCTTGAAAAATGTGCTAAGCATTCGGCTTCCTCAAACATTGTCATAGGCGGTTGAATGCGTCAGAGTAGTATACCGTTGGTGCTCAAACCCAAGCGTATGAAAGACTTGGTGGGCTCAGGTTCAAAACCGAGCCAACAACTAGGTGTGTTATGCGAAGCGATTTGAACCAAGGAGCTACCCAAACCCATTGTGCAAAGTCATGGAAAAACACAACACGTCGATGCTCTCCTTGCACCTGGTCATTCGTGTGACATCTATTTGCGCTTTTTTTGTTTCCTATTTTATTAAGGGCAAATCTGAGATAATCATTTTTACCGCTTCCACGTAAATCGAAATAGACATGCACAAAAATAAAAACGTAGGGATGCAAATATGAAATACGGCTCTTTACATGACTCCGGAATCATGTATGGTGCCGATCTCAGTACTTTTTTCATATGATTCTTTTGCTATATCGATTTTCCCCGACCTTCACATTTTTTATTAATCTACTTGGTAATTTTGGTTTTCTACATGAATATGCTTAAATTCTGGTTGGGCAAATTACTCCTGGAATCATAAGAAAGCCGTGTTGGGGTACGTTCAGCTGTTGTTGAGTATTTCTGGCCTTCCGTGTCAATGTCCAAGAATGATGAGCCACTCGACTAGCCCTAGAATCCTGGGTTAGCTATGTTGAAGGAAGTTCGATACCAATTTTATAACTTCTGACGGATGAGAGCCTTTATTTACCCTGAATGTGAGAAAACCAGAGCCTTAAACTTACCGCACCAGCTTTACCAAAGAAACGGATAAGGTAAATAATATACAGCAGAGAACGAAAGCAAAAGTGGTACATGAGGCAATGTACAGGCGTACGTTGTCTAGCGATCATTTGCTCTCGTTGCCATAAACTTATAAAAAGTCTTTACTCGGTTGATTCATAACTGCCGTGGAAGAAGCTTCATGTAACCAGGCGTTTCCACTTAGAGCACAGATTTCCTTCATGAACTACACTGCGGATTCGTCCAGAATTTTGGCGTTCAGTGATGGAAGAGTCGTCGACAAGAGAACAGGTACTCAGCAAAGCGGTTTTATTCCCACCAAGTAACTGAACGTCATTTTCGAAAAAATGCTGCAAAAACTGGCATCGCGCAAAAATAGAAAGGTGCCTGCGGTGGGGAGCGAACGCGTTATTGTTCTTTCTGGGTAATAACGCGTTCACCACCACACCATGTGGGTCCTTCGTTTCGCATGTCTCTCAGCTAGTTCTATCGATCTCTGCCATCAGCATTCACCCGTCGGCGGAATTGATCTGGGAGCCCACATCGGCAGTGAACCCAGTTAGGCTAAGGCTATACTTGGAATCACAATGTTTTACTTTTTTATTTTCTGCCCACTGTAATTTTCACGGCAGGGTACTAAGCGAAACACAACCATAACGTTGCTGAGATATTTGCAAAACTCTGACCGTAGGTGTGTATGGTGGAGAACGAACGCGCTATTGCCTTTCCGGGGAGTAAGAGACAGGCGAAACAAAGGACTCGCATGGTGTGGTGGTGAGCGCGTTACTCCTCAGAAAGGACAGTAGCGCGTTCGTTCCCCACCTCAGACACCTGCGGTCCGGAGTTTTGCAATTATCTCACCATTATTGAAGTTATATTTCGCAATATACCCTACCATTTAAAAAAGTAGGCAGGAAATGAAACGGTTAAGGAAATGTAAATCTATTTTCTAGCTAGCATATCATGTTTACCCTCTACAATACCGCTACTGTAGCATCCAGAATATTTTTTAAAAAAATATTAGCTGGTTTCGACAACGGGATTGCAAAAAACATTCTTCGGTTGGATGCGACGAAAGCCATATTCATGAGATGCACACATCAGCTTCAGATCTGAGTTAGATCATGCGAGCGGCTTTAACTCCTTACAACAACGGCAAGAGAGTGAAGAAACATCTAGCTATCAGAGGAAATAAGAACATCTGTTTCCTCTACGGAGCCTTGTGCTTTAACATTATTTATGAAGCCATTAAGGATGTGTTTCTAAAAGAACAAATGAAGAAGAAGTCGTATGCTCCAAGTTGCCCACAGCAACGGTTGAATATACCCAGTTGGCTGCAGGGGTTTTCGAATTTCAATTGCACTAAAAGAGAAGGATTTTATTGCAAAGATCCTTAAAAAAAATGTGATATATTACGACATTCTGGCGACTAGAACTCATTGGATAATTCTGGTAAGCGCCAGTGAGGAACGGCGTTGTCACTGCCACATCTATTCGAATTGATTGACGGTAACCCGAAATGGTACCCGTGGTGAATGATTCACTATATTCATTACATAGCTTCACATAGTGCCGATTCCAGAAGTTTTTAAATTTAGCTCGTTTCCTTTCAGCAAAAATCGACTAAGGTACTCGAACTTTCTAGAATGTAGCTTTGCCTACTGCTTGCGAAATTTTTCGTCCTCGTAACGAATGTCGTTAAATGCTGCTCGAATAAATACTCGCTACTTCAAACGCCAAAAGGTAAAGCCCTCGTCGTTGATTAATCCCCAAGGGATGTGCCATGCATTCGACTTCAGTAAGCATCGTTTGGAAGTGATTGGAATGCATATCTACCTTTTACAATGACTCGCGGTGGCCTACCGATGTATCGAGCTAATGCTGCTATCCTCCCAAACAAGTTTGGTACCAATTTGCCGATCCCGGAGGGGTACAAGGCTTGGTAGGCCACGGGCGCGAGTATCGATTCCACGTTTGTGTTGCAGGGTGCCTCCAACCACTGCGCTACACGCGCCTCCAGTTCGAAAAATAACTTGGAAAATTTTGTATACCACTAAGCGAGAGGAGTGTAGTAGAACCAACCGAGGCGAAATCCGGCCGTTTATCAGGGTCTTTACACCACAACTTTTCATTGACGAATTTCACAATGTACTCCGGAGTACTTGATGGAAATTTGTTTACCTTGCCTTCGACAATCTGAATTTGATGATTAACACTCAACAACTTGTTAAAAACCAACCACGTAGTTCATTTCTTTGCATTGTGATCATTATGATTATTTATGGTTAGTTATGGTTATAAAATCGCCTAAAGCTTCAAGTTTCTTGATTAAAAACGGCCTTATTCCGGAAGCATAAAGAGGAATAAACCAACCATCTTCTTCACGACAGTATTTCTCATATCATCATATGGACCTATTCCGGAGCATATCTCATATATTAACACCTAAACAATACCTTAACTTTTTTCAATTCCATTTTTGTCGGCTTAGTTTTGTTAATCGAATTTTTACTAATTCAATTCCATCTGCAATTGGAGAAGTGAGTAGAGCAATGGTAGTGATGTTGTTCAGTAAAATTGGTGGCGGACTGGTCTAAGATCATTCGGCTCCTCACGTTCAATTTATAAACGCTGGCTAATGTCCATGATGAGGACCTGGGAACACCCTATCACGGCTAACGCATGATTCCGGAAAATCTAACTCTAGAAATTTCGTGGCAGGAATCGTGCTTGTAAGCAATTTAGAAAATAACTTCTGATAAAGGGTGTGAGGAAATAAATCAAATGCAAAAAATCAGTTGTGTAAAAAAAATTTGGATTGAGATCAGACAATATGTGAATTTCTTCAGAGCCTCAGTACAAGTATTCTTTGCATCTCTACATTACCGTTCACAGTGAGCAGCGTTGAAAATGCCGTTGAAGAAGAACCTCCAGCACTACTCCACAGGAGTTATTTGTCGACGAAGTGCTCGGATAAATAAGAATGCTTTCATGATGAAATGAGTTTTCGCATGCTACAGAGACCAGTGTAACCCTTCCTTCAACGAAAGATCACGTACGCATTCGCGGTCATAGCAGTAAAATATGTTCAAATTTAGTTCAATTTTCAGTATTACAATGGCACGGCGTTTTTTAGACGACAAAGCGCCATAGCTTCTAATTGAAGATAATATCGTCAATTAAACTGTGACTATTTGGCTCGCTTCTTTTATGTTACTCCAAACAGTTTTTCTTTTATGCGCATCTGATCTGATATGCTTTTACATAGCATTATGTACGAACTTGTAGAAGATTTAGTGTAGGTAATGTGATTTGTCACTGTTGTGCGTTGCTAGACAAATCTCGCTCTCCAGCTTCTCGTGTCATCGAGCTACATAGTGAGTGAATAAAACAAATAGACAAAGCGTTACTCCGAAGGTGTAGACGTCAGTCTTTTGTGTAAACGTGAACGTTTGAATGCTTTCCGGTGCCATCCATTTTATGGGCATTTTCTGCGCGGTCTTCATTTTGTAGGAAGATCCCGGTCGTGATAGGCCAAAGTCCGATATTTTCACCTAAACCGCAGTATCTAGGGATAGGGCAGCTATTTACTGCATTGTCATATATATATATATATATATATATATTTACATATATGTGAGTGATACATATAAACAAATATATTTATACATGCATAGTTAGCTTGACGAAAGTATTAGATAAAAACGATACCGTGTTAGTTCTGTCGTAAAGACAGTTTCTGGCAGCAAGATCTCTATGGAGTACATTTGCTTTGTGAATATAATCCATTCCCGTTGCAACACCAATCATCATAGCCAATCGTTCATCTTTCGTAATCTTTTCATGCTTTCGTTTTAGATAAACATCCAAAGCGCTACCTGACGCAGAACATCTTATTCCTACTAAAAATAACGTCCATGTACAGCAATATGTGCAACCATCATATAAGCGGTCTCCTAACTTTGAACCATCCCGCAAGTAATGATGGGTGGGTGGTAAAGCGACCATGTATTTCTTAAAGGGCAGGTGGATTCATTTAAGCCATTCTGCTTCGAATGGACATTGTGTCTGCAGTGATCTGGACCAAACAACCATGTGGACACTACACTGTCCATTTTGAATTTAGTGGGTTCCAGAGGTTTTCTTTCTTCAGCATATATACTCACTCGATAGATAGCTGAAAACAGATCAAAGTAGTAGGGGTGAGACTAAAAAATTCTTTCTCTGTACTTAATGAGTTCTAAAAAACCTGTTCTAACAAAACTTTATCAATCGGTGCTTTAATAAACAATTAACTGTTTTTTCATTTTAAATTTTATGGAGATTGACGGCTATTTTGATGAACCTGTGGGCATAAAAAGTAGTAAATTATACTCGACAGGATTATGGAAAACATTTCCGGATGCAGACAACGATGTAACTGCATAATAGACCATACTAACACAAAGTAAATAATAGCACACATATCGTTTATACCAATAAAACGATGGAGCAAAGTCTGTTCTACAATCCTGCTATTTTAGGAACTCATCAAGCGCACTATTTATTGGGGATAGACTTTTTATTGTCAAAAAACCAGAAGATCGACAGCCGAAGAAGAATTGCGGGTAGTCCAAAGGGCCAGCCACTAGATGCGGTAGCTGGGCTGAATGAGCCGAAAAATGAACGTCGCCTTCAACTAATAACCCCTTATGTTCTCTTTGGGAGCACATTAAAAGTAACATGTGATCATATCTTCTTGCCAAAACATTAACAATGACCGCGTGCATCTCGTTACGAAAAATGGCTAGAATTAAAAGTTGCATAAAGTGAATGTGATGCTTTTCGCGGCGTTCCAAAGAAAAAAGACTACTGAAAAATTCTGGCCTGTAACAGGGGCAAGCTGACACTTTGAAGTTCCAGCTTGGATTATTGGGTGAAAATGGGATAAAAGTGGTGCTGATGATGGTAATTTACATATAGATGCGCTCAAAAATGGCCTTATGGCATTATTGAGTCGCTCCGAGCTTGTAAAACGGAATAGGACACTAAGAATACCTGACACGTATTCCAGAAGGATGTATAACGGGTGATCGATGAGTACAACGCCAACTAAGCCGACGACGTTGGCGTGGTTAAAAAGCCGCATGATTCGAACCTCTTTCATAATCTCACGAATTAACTCTCGCGTCAGCATATTCGTCATCGTCAACTAAAAATTACGTCATTGTAAAATGACTTTCATTAGGCCTCGATATAAATGATTTTTTTCTATTGATAAGCTAACATGAGGCTGTGGCCAAACTTTTATTCGGTGGACGTCTCGATGTCTTCGCCTTCTCAGAGCATATAGTCGTTACTGATATTAACCCTTTTATTTACTGCCTTTTTCTTTTTAATGGCAGGGTATGTTGCGAAATATAACTCGTATATAATGCTAAGATCTTTACAAAACTCCGGACCGCAGGTGTATGCGGTGGGGAACGAACGCGCGCTGTTGTCCTTACCGGGGACGCTCGGGGAATACGGATGCACGACAATTACCCAGATGACGGGAGTAATGAAATCCAGCTTATACATAAAGACGACATTGTATAAAATAATTGAAATAACCTTCTTTGCGTCATATGATTAATCTTATCGTTATTACTCGCGACTGAACACCAGGTATTATGTCGACGCAATCACCTAAGAAGTTCTTCAGATATGAATGAATATAGCTTCGGGTACTGTTTGGCAATCCTTGGTCTTTCGAATGCAATTCGTCGCTGGTCGAGTCTACTCTCACTGGAGACCTGTTGTAGGCGAACTAGGCGTTAGCAGCTCATCATTACAGGCATCCGCCAGCTTCTATGGATTTGAGGTACCGAGTTAATTTTAGACGAGAGCCTGGATAGAGCTGGTGGAGAGGTCGAAACAGGACCCTTTTTGTCCTGAACGGCATCTCTACCATTGCGCGACCCGCAAGACACCTTTTAACATACATATGAGCATTTAAACATGTGTTCAGAGATGGTGTAAATCCAGAGCAGGGTAGAGAAGCTGCCCAGCAATACACTTATTTTTTGTGTGCGCCCATCCTATTATCTCCCGACTATGAATTAGAGGATAAAAAATCCTTTGATCAGCACTTCTCTAAATGCCACGTTGATTTATAGCGACCACGATTTACAACGATATTAAGCGTGAATTCTGAAAGAATGATTGCTGGCCAGCGTTCAACTTACGGTCCTGTTTATACCGGAAATATTCTTAGAGGATTTCTACCTCTCGATGTCCTTTAGAACTCCCACTCTGCTTTTCTTTGGAACTTAGCTATATAACAAGAGAATTTCAAAGTTAATTGTCTTGACTCATTCTCAAAGAAAATTAATTAAATCTCGTAGTGTTTATTACCACAGTTATGAGTGATTAATGAGTTCGATCTTCAGTTTTTCCTTTTAATACGCTACAACCAGGGCGTTTCGAATAATACGTAGCATAAAAACAAGTGTCTAAAGTCGTTGTTCATGCCTTCATTAGGCCTTTCCCCTTACATCACGAAATACTTAAAGGTAAGCTCACCGTTTTCACAGCTACGTTTATAATTCGCCCTCCTTTTCGTACCACCGTGCCCTTGCGTACTTCGCCGTACGCTCCTCGTCCCAATAACCGACCCACTTGAACATTCTCGTGCTTAAATTCCCATCTACACAAACCGACACCTCTCTTAAGAAAGATGGTTTCCTAAAAAAGTCCACTTTTCCTTAAAAACTACTGTTACAAAGACCGAAGCGCTATTCCGTAGTTTGAACTCGTCGCCACTTCTCGAAGTGACTGAAAACGACACTGGCAATGCTGTTATTGAATAGAATGCTTAAACCTAACTAAAGGAAGTTACCTAGTTAATCTTCATGGATCTTTGTTTTTTTGCACCAGCTCTCATCGACTGCTGATCACTTCTTCTACTTGTTAAGTTACCAGAATTTCAATTAGCCACGAAAATTTTATACATACAGCTCAAACTCATGGCACTTTTTAAAGAGCTCGATAAAAAATACTGAAAAGGGTTCAGTTTCGGTTCAATCAGTTATCACAGCAGTGCTTGTGTTCTTATAGTGCTTTCATCGCCTAACACTCAGCTGAAAGCTATCTTTCGGAGGCAGTTTCAAGCTTTTATGAAGTGGTTTTTTTTATTAAGACGTCTTCAGCACTTCTCATAGAATCCTACCTTTTCAACGAGTAGTGGTTTTCTTGTATAACTTTCGAAAAGCAAAGGCAATGTTTCAAATTGATTAGTTGGATCAATCCACCACTTCTTATTTTTATTCATTATTACGAGGTTCCTAATCTGAAATGAAGGTCTTTCTTTGTCAGCTTATTGTACACACTGTGTGGAAGTTAAACAATTTAATGAAGATTGCAGTTGACGTGTGACTCATATCAGATGTTTGTGACTTTCTAAAGAAAACTACATTTATGCCTTACTCCTAAGCGGCGTTATACCTGAGAAAAGAATGCTAACGGAACAAATGAGAAATTTCACACAGCGTTATTTCACTCCTAGAGCAAGTAAAAAGTGACCCCATAGCAGTCGTTTGACCAGCTTATTTATGTTGTAGAAGCTTCCCATAATATCACTCTAACATTTGCCTCGAAAAACTTCGATGAAACCCAACCAATGGATCAGGTTGAGTTTGGTAAACGATTTAGCTCTATGTCGGCCATCCAAAGACATTAGGGTAATTAAGAAAGAACGCCTATCCTTCCGTAAGCGTGTTGTACATAAAATGCTGATTGCAACAGTCATTGCACCTCGTCAGTAGAGAATGACCGCTCACAACTATATTTGCTGAGTCCGATAGTTCGTGAAAATCGCTTTCCACCAGTGGAGCATGAAGTCACTTGGTTAGAATGAAAATTGAATATCGATACATGTAAACAGACGATTGCTCTCCAATCATAGTTTTAGCGAAGACGTCGCCACCCTATCAAAAAGTATTGCAGAGGCAGCTCAATGAAACATGGAAAAGTGTATTAGCACGGATTAGTCGGAAGAATACTTTATTTGGGAGGAATATGAAGAAAACAGGTAATCGTCATCGAGAAAAGAACTGAGAGGTGGGTAGTTTCACTGGGCTATGCAACTTCCATTTAGTTGTTATAAAAGGTTTGCTCGACCAATGTTCTGAGGCCACAGCCTTCTTCAGGGTCTCGATTATTCCAAATGGTCGTCCACAACCTCCCGTCCTTGCTAAGTGGACCTGCGGTCACCAAGTTAGCTAATACAACGCCTATTCCTATAGATATTTCGAAAAGTGTGTGACCCTGGGATCATGGAGCCAGGTTGGCAACCCTAAGAGGAGGAAACCTCTCGAGCTAAACAATGCGTAAGAACGAGTGACACACTGCTCCTTGCTACATCTTTCTCTAGAAAGTCGTTATATATGTACTGTATGGAAATAAACGATGGCAAAAAACGGCAGCCAACAGCAGATAATAGCCAAATTTAAAATAACCTTCTCTGCAATGTCTTATTTCGCAAACGGAATACTTCAAAATAGGGTGACGGCTCAGACAGAACACACAACGATCACCGCTCGCATTACACACCAGTATAAAAATGATAGCTTTCATGCAGCAAAAAACATTTACTGTTAGCGACGTCGCCTTACAGTTGCATTCATCATGCACTGCTAAGTCAATTTAATTAACAGATACTGCTATGCGACCTCAGTTAAAACGAAAATGAACAAAACCGACTAGCGAAACCCTCTTCTCTAACGGTATCAACTCATCATTGTTCTGTGGATTGACGAGAACCGATATCACTCGAGATGATGTCCTTTCTTTAATTTTGCTTTTCGTTGTTTTGATATTTGCCTGCAAAAAAACTAGAAAGACTGGTCAAAAAGGCTGGACAATATTATGTAATCTATGAGGCAGACCAGAAGCAAAAAGCGCTGGCTTTGCTCGTGCCGCGATTTGATCCGATTAAGAATTTGTTAGCTACTTGATAGTTGTTTCTTTTATAAACAATACGTATAAAAGTCGTAGTAAGAATTGCTTGGGTGCCCCACTCAGTGGAAAATTCCTTTGCTAGCTGAACAAACCTCGCTTATACGTACAAGAAAGTCTCCATTTTTTAAGAGAAGAGGTGGTATATCTTCACGTGGAAGATATCCATGGTAAAACTTTGTCGATTGCAACCAGGTGTCACCGGGACTGACCTGAAAACTTGTGAGATCGTTATACACTTTATAAACCTTGCACGATAAATCTCAAACTCACACAAAACTCGCCACCGGAGTGCTGGCTTTTTATACTAGTAGTTCCGGGAGCGCTATCGGAGAGGGTCTTCTCTCCGATCATCGAATTGTCCTGATTGTCACCCGGCATCGCCACTGATTCACAATGAATGGAACCCACCAAGGGCATAACAGTTGATCAGAATCAAGAAAATCAGCTATCACTTGGAAGTGTAAATAATATGTTAAATGTTATGAAGTTGATGGAGAATATAGTAGTACGGTTGAACAATAAAGGTTGAAGTCAAGGAAAGACCCTCCTGCAATACCTGCACTTGCAAAACTTGCAATAAACTGTTTGGAGGGTGAACGTAAGGTGATTAAGAGGTACCAGTTTGCTCTGCTTCAAATAGCAAGCTCAAAAACTGTTTTACAATAATCCAACAAAATGCAAAAGTACTTGTAACCAAAAATAATGAATAGGGATGTGAAAGTCTTCATTTAGTAGGAAGAACAGGCCGAAATCCTAGAGCCATCGTTTTTAAGTCTGAAGAAGGTAACTCAAGGTTTTGAACAGATGAAGCTATTTGAGTCCTTCACTGAACATCTTTGATGCAAAATAAGACTTACTTCTGATGCCGTTCAGATTGTCAACACAAAAGGGAATACCCCATTGAAGGCCAATTGTAAAAACGCAGAACAACTTGTTTCTGGAAGGTTAATAGTAAAAGAACAGCTGGCGGTGATTTTCTTATCAACGCAAGCTTTGTCATGAGCAACGATTTTACTGAGCGACAAAGTCCAACATTTACTGTTGAAAATATTCGAGGTGAATATTGGACTTTTATAATCATCGTAGACTACGCCGTAAATTCGAAGTATAGCGAAGAAGAAGGAGGATTCGACATAAAAACGAAAAAGTTCTAGAGAGATGATCACACCATTCACAATATCGACGACGGTTTCGTTACCTGGGTAACGCATGAAAAGGTTCAAAATCCGTGTTAGAAAGGTTTTTTCTCCATTTCGTCAGCGCCTGCCGGTTTTTCTCGCGTCCTATACAAGTAGAGACCACTGTCCGTACTGAAGTCACTAGGCAGTCAGTTGGTGGAAAGTTGATAACGAGATATTTATTTATATGTTCTTATGAACTGCCCTTGTTGAGCTAATGCGAGGTTGCTATGAACTATCGTTGTTGTTATTGTTGTTGGTCGATGGCTGACGTCTCGGCGGTTTCGTCTTCCTCAGAGCCGTGCTGTTACGAGTTGGACTCACAAATGCACGAGGGCATATAAAATCGATTATTTGGGCCAAGCTTTATAGAAGGTCGATCTTTCGAGGTATTGCGATAGATTCATCATGTGGTAACTAAATGAATACATCTTTTGATGTCAAGAAAAATTAAACACATATGAAAGATGTTTTCTTTCGCCGCTTTATAACAGCGGAACAATCGGGGGCACCTATATTCTGATATGAAAGCTGTTTTTTGCTTTGAATTTAGCACATTATAAAGTCCACCTCTATGAGAGGTCGACCATCCATTAGTTATAAAGGATACAGGACAAGGCGTTCAGGATTTCCTCAATAGCACATCTCTAAAGGATGCACCAGTGATTTGCCCTCAGTAGAACATTCATGGAGCTCAATCTCATGGCGACTGCATTAAAGGTAAAACTTATCCCAGTTGGAGAATTGAAGCCACCGTGTAATCAATTTTTTATTTACTGTCTATTCTTTCTTCACGGTAGGGTATGCTGTGAAATATAACTACAATGATGCTGAGATATTTGCAAAACTCCAAGCCGCAAGTGTCTGCGACGGGGATCAAACATGCTATCTACGTAGGAGGCAATGCCGCTCTCATAACATCTCCCAGAAATCTTGTTAGTTAGAGAACTTGCGTTGTTGATAACTTGAGATACCTTCTAAACAGAGTTTGCTCTATAGGCCAACAGAAAAGAAATTTTTTTCAAAACGTAATTTTTATTTTCAGTCCATTTCATATTGAAGGATAAAAAACTACTTTTATCATGGTAAAACAATAAAATTTGTATGCTGCTGGAGAAAGTTTTTAGACTGCGAAAGATTCTCTTCCAATTCATAGAGCTCATCACATGCTTATTGAAAATTATAATTCCCTTTGGGTACGCATGCGCGATTTCTGAACGACTTCCGTTAGTCTTTTCCTTTTGTTTCCCCCAGATTTTCTCATCCACGTCTACTTTGACACCATCGACTTTTCCACTTCTTGCGAAACTCGCTGCTTTCCGTTTATGAATAACTTTTGCTAGTCAAGAATTAAACTTCTCAGACTATGTAGAGGACCGTTCTACTAGAACATCCCATATAAGGAGAATCATGGAATGACGTTTAAAACTATGTTAAAGAGGTGGCTACAACTACAGAACTTTAATGCAAACTGGTAGCAATTCCTCTAAAGCCATAGATAGTTCGACTGAAGAGAATTAGCATTCCTATCGAAGACTGATCGAGGCGTGTGTAACGCAGTAGTCAGAGGTACCCTGCAATACGTACGCCTTTGATCCACACCTCAAGCTCACCAAGTCGATACATCGGTGGGCCTCCAGGAGCCACCTTATAGGCCAGTCATGCATTCGATCGTTCCTAATTGCTTGATTGGGTCGAATACACGTCGCGACTCTCAGAGATTAATAAACGACGAAAGTTTTACCTTTTTTATCCTTCATCAGAAGCTGTCGTTGGAAAAACACGAATGGAATCCTCCAGAAATCACTTCACCGGAAATTGAATAGAGGAGGGTGGCTAGCCAAACAGAATCAGAGCAGTGCAGTGGTGTTAAAGGTTGAAGATAAAGAGGACTTTATTACGTCGTCCACATCTCATGACGCCGCCGTACTCTAAAGTTAATCAAATGCTCAGGTATTAGAAGCCCTTGCTTATTGCAGGCAAAAATTGTAAGTTCTATGACAAGATATTGATTATGCATAAGATACATACGTATGTTGTATGCATGCTTATGTTGTAAATTGCAATTGGTAAGAGGAACGTAAGATGACAGCGCAGTGGTTAGTAATATCGTCGACCATGAAGCGACGACTCTAGTTCGATCCCAACACAACGCTCCTTTCCAGTTGACGTGGAAACACCTTAGTACGGCTATATGCAAGACTTCAAAGAGAATTGACTCGACCAGCATACTACGACATTTGTACAAAGACAAAATTCTCAAACAACGGCTGAAACAAGGGGAAAAGTATTCGAAGACCTTTGTGGAGAAGAACGTGAGGAAAACGAGTCGAGCGCAAGAATGCTGAGATCCGCACGATAGATGTGATAGCCGATTATGTAATAAAATGCAACAAACGAAACAAACGTGAAATAAAAAGGTCATAAAGCTTGATAATTGTTTCGAAATACAAGCTGTGTTGAAACCCATTGAGAAATTCATACTCCATGACAACTGAGCCATTCCAAAAAAATCTTTTCAATGGTTCATCATCTTGTCGTAGAGAAAAGCTTTCTCTAACAGCCGCAAAGTGACATCCAAAACAACGCTTTTGCGTTTTACTAAGTGCAGAGAACAGCTTTTCACGAACCACGCCTGATATGACATCAATATTAGACAAGCTGTCGATAGAGCACAAACAGTAGAATGAAAGTGCTCGATTTCCATGGCCCGTTAGCTTCCACTAACCCCAAATAGACCAAATAGAAGTTTTTTTTAAAAATTTTTGTTTTATCACTATTGTATGAAGGAGGCCTTTCAGAAGCCCAAATTATCAGCTTGAACATTCCATAATTTTTTTACTGCCTATTACTTTTTCAAGGAAGAGTTTTATGTAGAATACGACAATAATTATACTGAGACCTCCAAGTGAGGTTTCACCCCCGATCACCCTTTTGAGAGTTCAAGTGCTATCCACTTCACCACTGAGGCTTTTCCTTGCATTTCTCTTAGCGAGTTTCATCAGCTTGTACACTGCCTATACTATGATGCAAACCATTTTTGGTGAGCAAAAAGCACTCACTCCTCAGGATCTATCTTTTATTGTTCAAAAACGCCTATAATTGAGTGTCAAGTTATTCAAGATAGATTGAAAAATAGTAGATATCCACACCATCCACCGAGTTTTTTGTCACATAAAGGGCGAAACCTTTTGTAGTTCTTTTCCTTCGGAAAGTAGAAATTTCCGGTCGTTATTTTACAGATCAAAAGCGTTCGCTAACAGTTTTGCCCTTGTGCTGTACACCGCGAGGAATTTTTTTAGCGCGGACCAGCCCTGTGCCAATCGCGGCACTTGCTTTTTCAAGTGCAATGACACCTTTGAAAACCCATGATCAGTGCTACTAAAAAATTGCATTAAAAGACCATCCCTTAAAGTAGTTATCTTGCTTGCAAGGACTCGCAAAAGCTATTAAAAAGTTGTACTTTGGGCATATGTTGTTTGTGAAATCGCCGATTATTTGTTATAAAAGCTCAATTACTGCCTAGTACGAAACATTCATAGACCGTTTCCTTGAATGGCATGCCGGGCCTAGTACATTTTCAATTTTTACATTGCTTTGCTGGTAAAAGATGGTTTTCAACGATGTCTAGCATTAGAGAGAGCTTTGACCACTTCTGACTCAGATATTCTTTCAAGATTGCAACGATTTTTTATAAACATCAAATCCCTTGGAAGCCCCACTTCATCGCACCAGTGAACAGCACTGCCTGCTACTTGATATATTTACAAAAATATCCTCTCTTCACGTCAAGGGTGCAAGTTATGCAGAGCAATCTTAACAGTTCCCAGAGGCTCCCCAGATTAATCTATTTCACGGGTAATTGCTGATGGCACTGGTAGATAGCTATGGAAAACTAGCTGAGAAAAACAGAGCAGGTGCCTCCGTGGCGCAGTGTGTAATGCGTGAGTCCACGGAAAGGGAAAGTGTGGCTCGATCTGGCATGGGATCACAGTTTTGCGAAATATCTCAGTATCGTTCTAGTTAATCTTAACATTACCCTCTGCCGTAAAAAACTATGGTAGGTAGAAAATAAAAGCCTAACAATCGCATAGCAGCTGTGAACTCGCTGAAGCAGTGAATATAGACAGGTAAGTGTTACATGTCGTTTTTTTTTTTTTTGCTATGTGTCGTTTTCTGGTTCAGAAATCGCGAGGGTGT